CCTCTTAGCAATCTCTCAAGTCCATACAATAAACTTCTTATCCTACAAGAACTATCATGGGGGCCAGAGAGACTACTATGGGTAGGGTGTTTGCCTTCTTTGAGGCCAACCCAGATTCAATCCTTGGCCCCTCACACTGCACCCTACCCCCAACAAGAGTAAGCTTTGAGTTAGTGGGGTCCCCAAAGCAAAAATAAACCAACTAATTAAAAATGGGGAACGGCATGATACTATAGTGGGTAAGGAACTTGCCTTGCATGCAGTCTACCTTGGTTCAATCCCCAGCATCCCAGATGGTCCCCTGAGCACCTCCAGGACTGATTCCTGAGTGCAGAGCGAGGAATAATACCCTGATCACTTGGGGAGTGTGATCCAAAATATTTAAAATAAATAGCTATCAATCACTGAAATGATCTACTGAGGAATAAACCTTTTGATCTGCAGCAGACTAGTCAGTGAATATTTTCACTTTTATTTATAATTCCAAAAAAGAGATTCTAAAACTCAACAAGGAAGGATTTAGCTTAACCTTAAGGGGAACAAATTTCAAGGTAAGGTTGGCCAAGAAGTAAAAGAAATTTGATCCTTATAATATCAAGCCACTGGCTTCAGACTAAAGCCAATGAACCCTAATTCACTTTTCAGTTTTTAGTAACAGGGAGAATAAATACCTTTAAGTAAGGATTTCAATTGTATTTTCTATTGATTATAAGAAAAAAAATGATATAAAATATTTGGGTTAAATTTGGTATCAAAAAATAATTCTAAAACCTTTTTTGTCCCCCTTTGCTTTGGGGGCCACACCCAGCAGTGCTCAAGACTTACTCTTGACTGTGCATAAAGATCACTGCTGGTGGGTTCAGGGGACCATATAGGGTACTGGAGATCAAATCCAGGTCTGCTGCATGCAAGGCAAATGCCCTACCTGATGTATTATCGACCCAGCTTCTCATTCTAAAATCTTAATGTCCAGTTGCCAATTTTAGTCTTAGCGCCCAGTTATCTATAATCAAAGCTGCCTTCTTCTGCTAGGCCAGGCACTTTGCCCCTAGCAAATGCTCAAAGAATACTTGCTGAACCAAATTAACAAGGCAGCATCTAAAACATCTAAAATCTAAGGATTTTTTTTTAAAAATTGCATTCCATAATAATGTGGGCCAGGGAGATAATACAGTAGGTACAGTAGGCTTGCACCCTGCACACACCAAACCCAGGTTTCATTCTTGGCACCACTTCTGGCTCATGCCCCGCCAGAACTGATCCCTGAAAACCACTGGGTATAACATAAAAACCCAAAAAAAAATTATTTATTTTTTTTTTTGTTTTTGGGTCATACCCGGCGATGCACAGCGGTTACTCCAGGCTTTGCACTCAGGAATTACTCCTGCGGTGCTCAGGGGTGCTAGAATTGAACCCAGGTCGGTCTCGTGCAAGGCTGTACTATCGCTCCAGTCCCACCAAAAATATTTTAACAATGCTCTCAAGTCAATGTTCTCCCTTGAACATGAATCTCCCTTGTCTCAATGTTTCTTTGCTTGCCTTTTTCTACTCTGGAGAAGCCTATGTTCTCTCTCGGACATGTACTTTATCCCTTTCTCGAATGTCACAATATTTTTTTTGTTTGTTTTGTTTTGTTTTGGGGCCATATGATTCTCAGGGGTTACTCCTGGCTCTGCACTCAAGAACCACAGGGTGCTCAGGGAACCTGGGCATCAAACCCAGGTCGGAAAATCTAAAGAGAAAAACAACCCAGGCGAACAACCTACCCACTATATTATCACTCTGGCCTCCCCTCACATCTTTCTAAATAAGTTTCAGTTAAGAAAAAAAATTATCGGGGCTGGAGTGATAGCACAGTGGGTAGGGCGTTTGCCTTGCACGCGGCTGACCCAGGTTCGATTCCCAGATCCCATATGGTCCCCTGAGCAGCGCCAGGAGTAATTCCTGGGTGCAAAGCCAGGAGTAACCCCTGAGCATCAGCCAGGTGTGACACAAAAAGAAAAAAAAAATCTGGTACATCTCAAGAACTGAAAAAGATTTTTTTTCAAAGACCAATACTACACTCCTACTACATGAAAAGCATGTTGCTGAGGTATTTTTTTTGTTTTTTTAAAAATTATCCATTACCCATCAAACTGTTTCACCCTGATGAAAATGGTAATGAACTATACATATACTGAAAAATATGGTTCTAGGAATTCTTTTTAAGTTAAAATGGGGAATTACTATTACTTCTCAGTAAAAAAAGATTCATCACGGCACAGAACACAAAATAAAATACCAGATCCAGGAATCCTTACAGTTTCAGGTCAAAAGCCTCTGGTGGTTCTAACGTTTGTCTCATCTCTTAGCCCTCATCATGCAAGAATTACACTTTCAGTATTATTGCCTTACTGTTGCTAAGTTGTTACTATGGATGCCATCACATCATCACTGATTACCAGCAGCAAATAAGCCAAACTATATCATGTTTGGGTTGACAAAATCTTCTGCCCAGAAAGAGAATTTCTAACACTAATTGAAGAAAGAGAGAAAGGGTCTTACCTGCTGGAGAGAGAGAATAGCAAGCAGGGCGCCTGCCTTGCCTGAGGCCAACCTGGGTTCAAGAGCGGCACCCCATAGGTTCCTCCTAACCAAAGCCCCCCACAGAAGTGATCTCTGACACAGAGCCAGGAGTAAGCCCTGAGAACTGCTGGGTGTGGCCCCAAAACAGAAAGAATAAAAAAAAAAAGAAGAGAAAGGGAGAAACAGAAAGAGGGAAAAAAAAACAACCAACTAGAAATCCTGGGAAGGGTAGGGAGATAATACAGGGACTGCTCAGCCACAGGGATACAGCCATCCCTAGCACCAACAGCACCACCACCAGGAGTGACCCCCAAGCCTCAAGCACAGAGCTGGTAGTGGCACTCAGCTGGATATGGTTCAAAACAACTAAACAAACAAGAAGTAATTACAAGCTGAGGATCCTGAACAAGCAGAACCAATTAAAAAAAAAAAGAAAAGAAAAAAACCTCCAAGTAAGGATCAACAGTACAGCAGTTAGACTTCTTGCTCTGCTGGCGGGGCTCAATCCCCACACCCATACAGGACCCTGAACACCATGAGTGATTCCAAAACGCAGAGCCAGGGGTAAGCTCTGAACAATGCTGGGTGTGGCCCAACTCTCCCCTCCAAGCCCCCCAAACCAAAAAACCTTCCTATAGGGATTGAAGAGATACCAGTTAAGGTGTTGACCCCAGGGACCTGAGCAACAGTATAGCTGGTAGGGTGTTCACCTTGCAAGCAGCCGACCCAGGTTTAATCCCCAGCATCCCATATGGACCCCAAGCACTGCCAGGAGTAATTCCTGAGTGCAGAGCCAGAAGCAACCCCTAAGCATCACTGGGTATGACCCCCCCCCAAAAAAGATGCTGCCCCTAGATTGATTCTCCAGCACTACATACAGTCCCCTGAGCACCACCCCGAATGCTGCTAGTGTATTCCCAAAACAAAACCACTGAACTCAGTATATTTTGATACCATTTTGTCATAGCCAGTATAATTTCTTCTTTTTAAAACCACCTCCCCAGTCCCACCACACACACACACACACACACACAGATGTCAGGGATCAAATCCAGAGCCTCATATGTGCAGGACAAGTGCATTGTGATACTTGAGCAAGTGCACTGGGATATTTGCCATATCCCAGATGCATAGCAAATCATTTCTTTTTGTTGTTGTTTTGTTTATGGGTCACTCACGCAAAGATGCTTAGGAGCTGCTCTCATCTTTGTACTCAATAATTTTCCCCGGTGTACTTTGTACTCAATAATTTTCCCCGATGGTGCTTAGGAGACCTTTTATGTATGAAAGGAAAAATAAGCCCCCAAAAGTGAATGATTTAATGATTTATTCAATTCTGGGCTTTTTAAATTGTGTGGCTCTATCATGGTGCAAAATTATTCAAATACCTCAATTTAAAAAAACCAAATTAGACTGGAAGTATTTTAAACTATTTGAAAATAAAAGATTATTTTTCTGCTTGACATATTTTAATATATATTAAGTTTGATTCCAAAAGTATTGAAACTGAATGTTAAACATATTATATCCATATATATATTTAAGTGTGCAGTAACTGTTGACTGTAATCAACATAAATTGCTATATACACTTCAAAGACCGCCCATTCTTACTGGTGGTGGAACACATCAGAATAAGAGCCAAGTAATTAAATGGTCATTTGTTAGGATTTCTTCAAGTTTATGGGCTTTAATAGCCTTAAAAGAGCTTAATCATTTCTATCAATAAAAAGCAATAAAAAACTATCAAAATGAAATCAAAGTATTTCATTTCTAGGTACACTTTATCTACTTTTTCTAAGTACACACTATAAGTCAAGCATTACACTAAATCCTTTACATAGGTTATTTCTCTAACCTACGAACCATCTAGGCATATACTTTGACTATTATCATCATCCCAAGGTACAGTTTGAGACACTGAGCTTTTTGAAAGATAACAAGTCCAAAGTCATAAGTTAAAGAGTAGGCACTCCAGCCCAAGTTTTCCTGCTGACAAGGAAGTGGCCTGGTTTTGTAACTTGTGTATCTACCACCCAGCCACTCTGGGCCTCAGTTTCCTTATTTGTAAAAATAAACGCAAAGCACAAGTTCCCCCCCCCACCCACTTTTCCGAGCGTCAATCTTATCCACCTTACAACCTTCCTAGGTGTCAACAAGACAATGTCATTCCTTCCTTTTACTGAGTTCAACGGGGGGGGGGGGGGGGGAAATAATAAATAAAAATAAAAACACTGACGACGCATCTACTGGATGTCCGGCCTTGTGATGGGCAGCGGTCTAGGTCCGGGGTCCTCCACTCTGGGCTCTCGCCCCTGGTTGCCAGCAGGCCCCCCGGCCACCACCTGCCTCAACACAGCCCAACTCGGACTAGCGAGGACACCTCCCCCCCGCAGCCCCTCCCGGACACTCCATCTCCGCGCCCCGCTCCCTTACCCTTCAGGTGGTCAGTCCCCAGCGCCGTGGGCTCCCGCGTCCCCGCAGTCCTGTCCCCGGTGGGGTTCGCATGGAGTGGCTCCGTCTGCGATCGCTCGGCGACCCTGCCTTTAGCCATGGCTTTTGGGAGCAAGCGAATAAACTGCAGGGACCTGGGAGAGGCCGCGCCTCCTTATCAATTCCGCCGCAAGCCTCTACTCGAGCCCCCGGGGCCGCAGCTACAGCTACTTCCGGGGCGACCCCCTCACCTGAGACGACCTCGGCCCCGCGAGCGCAGGCACGCGCGGCGGAGACCAGCAGCGCCTCCTCGAACCTGGCCCCGCCCCACACCGCCCCCGAGTCTCGCGCGCTCGCGCCGGCCCAGTCACAGCGAGACAAGTCGCGGGCCGGGCCCGCCCCCTCTCGAGACCCGCCACGCCTGGCGCCGGCGGGGAGCATGCGCAGTCGCGGCGTTGGCGTCCCCGGGCTTGGACTCGTCGCAGAGCGACGTCAAAGGCGCAGCTTGAGGAAACCGGAAGTGCCTTCCCGGAAGTGCTTTCCCGGAGTCTTCCAACCCTTTGTCTTCCGCCGCCGGAAATGCCTCTGAGTGATTCCTTGGTGTTTCTCCGCGGACTCTGATTCAGCACACTGCCTGTCCCCTCGGTTTCGCGAAGCGGCTGTCTTGGTTTCGGATTGGCTAGACAATGCTCTCTCTAAAAATCGTATAAAATAAAGAAATAAATAGTGTAGCACTGCTCTGTAGCACTGTCTTCCCGTTGTTCATCGATTTGCTCCAGCGGTAGTGTAAAACATAAAATAGGAGCCAAGCCTACCAAATGTTAGGGAACTGAGGCTCAGGGACGTGATGGCAAAATGGGTTTAGAATCGGAGTTTTCAAGCAAATGGTTCTCATCATCAGGCTAGCCCTCATTAATAAACCCTAAGTCAGCTCACTACATTCATCCTTTCCACTAGTTGGCCCCAAATAACCCTTTTCTGACACTTTGTTCACCCTGTCTCTATGTGTTCTGCTGACTAGTTTGTGAATGTGTTAGAATTTACTTTGGGAAGCAGTATGGCAATGTATTTTAAAATATTTTGTCTTAGGCCCAGAGGGATAGTGCCTGGGGCCCTTGCCTTGCACACTACAAGGGGGAGACTAAAAGGGAGAAATGAGTTTGGGTTTTCAGTTTATTTTTTAGGTGATTTAACTGTTAACACCTAAGTACACCAACTACCCGTAACCTACCGCAAGGGCACGAAAGCCACTCAAGGATTGCAAACAGGAACAATGGACGAGGGTCCTAAAGTGATATGGCTAAAGATGACTGCCTTATGTACTCCTGTAACTGCTTTTTCTGACTTCTGTAACAATGCTTGCTTTGCTGCGCTTGTGTGAACTTACTAGGCACCAGCATGTTGGCCCAGTGGCCTAAACAAATTTTGCAGGTGCTTATGAAAGTGCTCAGGGCACCAGCAAGTGGTTCTCCCTAATAAGAGATCAGTGCTTCTGCTGTGAGGCTCCTGCTTTTGCAGGAAGCGAAACAGCATTTATTACATCTTGTTATATTTACTTGAATCATCCTTGTTGTCTTGGTCAGATGCTATGCCCTTGGGGTCTGGCATGTTTTTCTTACTAGGTGGTAACCTCATGACCCTAAGGCACAAAATGAAATCAGGCTTTCCAAAATGGAGCCTCAGTGGTTCTTTTACTAGCCTTGAGTCTCACACAATTTTTAAGTTGTGGAGAGTGAGAGGGGGCAGGGTGGGAGGGGGAGAAAGAGAGAGAGAGAGAGAGAGAGAGAGAGCACGCTCAGTGATAGACACTTGCCTTGCATGTGTGTGTCTTGGGGTTTGATCCCTGACATTGCAAAAGACGATCTATAAAGCAAAGAGAAACAGTACTGCTGATGGGATGCTTGCCTTTCATATAGCTGACCCAGGTTTGATCCCTGGAGTAGCATATGGTTCCTTGAGCACCACCAGGAGTAATTCCTGAGTGCAGAGCCAGGAGTAAGCCCTGAGCATTGCCAGCTATGGTCCAAAACCAAATAAATAAGTAAATAAATGAAAGACTAAATGATATCAGGATGATTACCCAATTAGCTGTTTTTGTTTTGGAGTCACACCCAGTGGTGCTCAGAGCACTCCTTGCTCAGTGCTCAGAGAACACCCTGGTGAGCTCGGCAGGCGGACCATATGGGATGTGGGGATTAAACCAGGGCCCGCAGTATGCAAGGCAAAGCCCTATCCACTGTACTAGAGCTCTGGCCCCTATCTGATGAACTTTTTTAAAAGTCAGAGTTGTAGGGGCAGGAGCAATACAATAGTACTGCAGGTTTGGTGCTTACTTTGTAGGCTGCTGAAATTCAATCTGCTGCACACCATAAAACCCCTGAGCACTTCCAGGAGTAACTCCTAAATGCAGAGCCAGAGATAAGCCCTCAGCATCGCCAGTTGTGACCCTAAGACAAAAGATAATAGTAATAAAGAAAATAAAACCACTTCTAATCTTTTCAGAAGTCTCACTTTACCCTTATACAAGCTTAAAATAGATTTTACCACACACCTGAAGGAAAATCCACTGTACAAAACAATAGTGAATAATGCTTACTGTTTGGTTTGAAGAGTCTGAAACAGTTAATAAATGCCTTGAAAACTCTTCTTTCACTTACTATAGCTCCTCCATCTGTCTCCTCCCTCCCAATCCCTAGCACATAGACAAATCTCATTTTTTTTTCTTTTTGGGTCACACCTGGCAATGCTCAGGGGTTACTTCTGGCTCTGCACTCAGGAGTCACTCCTGGCGGTGCTCAGGGGACCATATGAGATGCTGGGAATCAAACCCAGGTCGGCCACGTGCAAGGCAAATGCCCTACCTACTGTGCTATCTCTCCAGCCCCGACAATCCTCAATTTTTAATCTTGACTCACAGATCCTAAAGACCTAGCCACTGAGTCTTGTTTCTATAGTTTCCTATAGTTGAAAAAATTTTTTGAGAATTTAAGCTTAATACTAAAATAGAAAAGACATTTATAAATGTATATTATAAATAAAAATGAACATATTTTTTTATTTACAACTTTATATAAACTTACAATTTGCTGAAATAAACTCAACATCATCTAATCACGGTCACTGTCCTCCCATTATTCATCGATTTGCTCGAGTGGGCCCAGTAACGTCTCAATCGTGAGACTTGTTACTGTTACTGTGTTTGGCATATTGAATACAGCACGGGTAGCTTGCCAGGCTTTGCCATGCGGGCGAGATACTCTCGGTAGCTTGCCAGGCTCTCTGAGGGGGGTGTAGGAATCGAACCCGGCTCTGCCGTGCCGGCTGCGTGCAAGGCAAAGGCCCTAGCACTGTGCTATCGCTCCACCCCAACATCATCTAATAAAATAAATAAATAAATAAATAAATAAAACACTACTAGGACCAAGATGACATACTCAAGTCACTTTTCATTCTTTCCAAGAGAAACCACTGGAGGGCAGGAGAGATAGTATAAGGGTTAATGCTCTTGCCTTGCATGTGGCGACCTTAGTTTGATCCCTGGGACAGCAAATGATCGCTGAGAACTCTTGAGTATGGGTATGGCCCAAAACTTCTTCCCACCCAAAATAGAGAAAAAACAATTGAAAGGGCTTAAAATATTATACAAAATCCAAAAGTCAATTTGAGGTATTTCCATATCCAGTCAAGGGAATGAAATTGCTAACTTCTTTCTGCAATCAACTGGAAAATGGGCAAAATATCTGAAGTAATTGTTTAGGTATTGAGCAATAATTGCCAGCGGAGATCCTTGAGATAATGACTTACATGATTATTATGACTGTCTACCTAGGATACTTTGGGGACCAAAGTGCAAGAAATGTCAGTTGGACAGCAGTGTAACTGAGGCAAGGAGAAATGGATTGGAGTTCAAGGTTAACAATGTAGTTGGAAACTGCAGGATAAGACACCAGAGAAGAACAAAAATGAAGCTCTAGAGCATAGGAGCTTCCTCTGCTCAAAGGTTGAAAATCTGCACAAACCACGATAAGACTGCAATGGGGTAGAGCAAAAATCATATGTCCTAGAAATAGCAAGTACTGAGCCACGGCCCCAGAAGCACAAGGACTTAATGCAGAACCCAGCAGCTTGGAGCAGAAAAGTGAACGGACTATGCATTGATCCAGGCCATCAAGTCTGCCGGAGGGGAAAGGGTGTTGCCCCATTCGCCCTCTCCTCTCTGGAAAGAAAGATGGCGGCCACATGGGAGCCTTGTGGACAGCAGGTATGAGCCGGGGGAGTGGGGGCGACTAAAACCTCATGGGTCGGGGGGCGTTCCGGTCCGTCCTTCACGCCCTACCGAGGTCACAAGTCGCCCCCCGCGAGCGGCTCTCCAGCACGGCCATGGCCCCAGAAGCACAAGGACTTAATGCAGAACCCAGCAGCTTGGAGCAGAAAAGTGAACGGACTATGCATTGATCCAGGCCATCAAGTCTGCCGGAGGGGAAAGGGTGTTGCCCCATTCGCCCTCTCCTCTCTGGAAAGAAAGATGGCGGCCACATGGGAGCCTTGTGGACAGCAGGTATGAGCCGGGAGTGTGGGGGCGACTAAAACCTCATGGGAAGGGGGGCGTTTCGCTCCGCCCTTCACGCCCTACCGAGGCCACCAGTTGCCCCCACGAGCGGCTCTCCAGCACGGCCACGACTCCAGAACACAGAAACCAATTTCTTAACTATCTGACTTTCAGTAGAAATACTTCCAGGGTCAATAGGTAAAATAACAGAAATCCAAAACCAACATTTAATTCTTGAACCCAGCTGTAGAAAGCAAATCACTTCACAATGCTTTTTCAGCATGTCTGATTTGGGGGGGGGGGGTAAACTCTAAATAATAGTGGTGAATCTTTTATTGAAACAATCTAATCAAAGCAGATAGAGTGTTAACTAGAATTCATCTGCCTCACAGGGACGGGGAGGGGTGGGGGGTGGGGTTTTATTGGGGTTCTTCATGGGAAAAAATAAGTATTGGTAAAGGGAAATGTGTTTGATATTTGCATGACTGAGACATAAACCTGAAAGCTTTGTAACCTTTCCCACAGTGATTCAATAAATAAATAAATAAATAAATAAATAAATAAAAAAGAAATAGCAAGTACTGGAAAACTGAACTTAATGGAGATTCCAGAGCTTATGGAGACTGGAAGACATCAAAATTCTAATCAACTAGAATGAAGAAAATGTGTTGACTACATTGGGCATTCATAAAGAAAAAAAAGAACTTAAGAGAAAAATAAAAGCCTTAGAATTAGCAACAACAACAACAACAACAAAGCCTTAGAATTGA